CCCTCTTCTCACACCCAGTCAAGAGGGCTAAATATCTCCTATATTTGAAATAAATTTGTATTGTCCAGAACTATGTCTCCAGAGGCTGTGATATTAAGAAATATCAAAAGCAAATATTTTAGCATTGATGACAAACTGAAAAGGATTGTTAAGAAGGATTTACACTATGTGACTCTGCTTTGTCAGGTATTGCAGAAAAAAAGGAAGTATGAATGTATAGCAAGAACACCTGCATTGGCCATGTGGATTTTTTATTAATTTTTTGCAAGGGGAGGGTGGGAAGTTGCTGATATCCAAACAAAAAAGTAGTTTAAGTTCACAATTTGATTTTACATTTAAAAATAATCAAGGCAAGAGGCCAACTCTTTCATAGTGTAAAAGATGGCCAAATATTAAGAATATTGTCTTTTTTTTTTTTTCCTGAAATGCACTGGTTTTGGCCTTTCTTAATTCTGTGGTAATAACCCTTATGGAAGAAAGTAATTTCTTTCTTCATCGCTGCTGAACTTGATGTGTTAATTTTTCCACCCAATCTTCTATCACCCTTCATTTCCCTTCTGGTCTTCTCATCACTTATGGTACATTTACCCCTACCTTCAATGGCCAAATTATGATTCAGCCATCAAGAACTGTTTTACAAACTCAAACAGATGCCTGTAGTCTCTCTTCTCTGATTCAGGCTCTGGAATTTCATCGAAAGTTTTTAATTTTAGATTTCTTAATCACTAATAAGTGAATTTCATCGTCGTCCTAATACTGCTCTAACATTTTGTTACATCAGCTTTCTGCTGATTTCTACTCTCTCTGCAGATCAGGATCCAATCTTTGTTAAAAGGACGATTACATGCAGTGTTTTTATGACTTAGGGAGAAGCAGTGTACTGTAGATGTGTGAACTGCAGGGTGTTTTACTAGTGAATTCGTCATCAGCTTGATTATTTTCCCTCATTCACGTTTACTCGGGTTACTTCAGTAGAATTCTCCTGACAGGTATATTTTAATATCAGACCTTTTTAAAACTGTTTTTTACCTTAGGCACTTATATTTAAAATGGTAAGGTAGATGTTTCCAAAGCAGAAGTAATCATTCTAATTTGTACTAATATTTAATGAGACTAAAAAAAAAACACCCTACCAACATGTGGAAGTGTGTTAAATGCATTTGCTATAGACTATGCAAATGAAATACTATATATATTGTTAGGCTCTATTTGTGTCAGCTTAGTGACTGGATGCAATGCAAAAATAGTTTTTTAACATTTCAGAGTAGGACTTCTGAGATGCGAGGGGTAATTCTTAAATGTGCTGTGCTAAAGAAAGACAAAAAGTAAAATTCGTATGTCTGTGCTTCTGTTATATGTGCTGGCAAATATGTTTTTCAGCAAGTATTTAATTTCTCTTTTGATCCTACACAAGGGCGTATGGTCCCACAGTCTTTCCCTTGGTTAAGCACAGGCATCTCTGTACCATGATAAATGTACTTTTTGTATTCTTCAACCACCAGTTAAACAAATCTGCAATGTTTGAATCCATATTTGAACATCCCTGAATTTTAAGGATCTCTCTTAATTTCGATGGCGTACAAAGGCTGCAGTATTTAGTCCTTATCAATGCAACAGAAATGCTACAAAGCTGCAGCCAAACAGACCTAACTACAATCTTCAAAAGAAAAATAGAGAGGAAGATAAAGAAAACCCTCCTTTATTTGTAGCATATCATACATATGTGTTAAACTGCTCCCTAAGTATTTATGTTGTTTTCTGAGTTGTTCTGGTAAAGTTTCATTCCGACTCACTTTCTTGAAGCATCAGCACACTGTCTGCAGGCTCTGAGCAGCCCCTGAGGCCTTAGAGAGTGCCCTAGGGACTGCTGGGGAGGTGAGCAGAGGGGCTTGTGTGTTTGGGGCCCTTGGCCCCGTACCTTGCAGGAAGGAACTTCCACGGGTTTCACCCCAGGCCTGCATCTCACTCGGTTCCCGTCGCTCTGGTGCACGCAAATAGAGGGTATTCACTCAGAATCTGTTTTACTGTTTGCTTGTGGGATGACGTGGAGTTTGTAGGCTTTAAATTGATAATCAGAGCCTGCTGAAATAAGTCACTAACATTTTCACAGGCTTAACAAATGAGGGTTTTGGCCCTGACAGCTTCAGCGCAGTTCCCCCTGCCTGCCATACAGCTTTCCCTGGGAAGTGCTGAGAGTAACCTCGGGCAGACGGGTGGCTCAAAATTAAATTTTAATCTAGTTGAACGCCGAGTGGGAAACAAGAAGTGAAAACTGTCAACTGTGCCCAGATCCATTCAGATCACTTCTAGGGACAGTTTTGATACCAAATTATCCTTGTTATGCAAATTTCCTCACCAACCGGCTGGTTCCCAGTTATGCATGGGGAGAAGCGGTGGCCACATCTGCTTCCCGTTTTGCCGTTTCAGAGACGAGCCATCTGTTTGGCCTCATCCCGAACAGCCTGCTTGGTGCTGATTAACTTCCTCACCCCGCCAGCCCTGGGCTCGCTGTCTGCTGCAAGGTGTAGATTTTTATTTTTTTTTTGCTAACTGCTTATAAACCAGAACCTTCACTTCTCTCCCAAGGGACAGGAAGGCGTTGGTTTGTGTGATTTGCAGCCGCCACCCGAGGCAGAAACAGCAGCAGCTGCCCTCTGTCACTCACATGCCTCATACGTGTGGTCGGGACAGATAAAACTGGGAATTGTTCTGCAACCTGGGACCTCTCTAAAGCAGTGAGGCCTTACTCTAAATAAATTAGCAGTTAGCTCAACTCTCACTGCAGTTGGTAGTCTGTTTTAGCAGCAGTGTAGTTTCAGCTGTGCTTGCTGCAGTCCATTTTTTTTGTTGCAAAGTGGTGCTCTCTGAAGCTCATCTTTGTATTGCTCATCCCACCTATCCCATTTTCAGTAAAACTCTGCTAATCCATTGGTCCTCCTTTTTTTGGGGGTACCCATCTTCTGGCAACAGTGGCACGATTTCAGAAATGCTGCGCTTGAACAACTTCCAGTGATTTAGGTGAGAATTGTGTGTTCAGGAGCCCTGAAAATTCAGAGTTGGAAAAAAAGCCAAAAGTTAAAACTAGGAAACTGGGATAATGGATCTCTGTTTAAAATTAAGACCTCAGACCTCTGTTGCTCAATTCTGGTGCCTTTTACAGACTGGTTCTGACGGTCTGTAAAACCATCATTTTATGCTGCATTAAGACCACAATTTGGTCTCATGCACCGTTTTCCTTCCAAACAAGCAGTAGGTTGTGTCTTTTGATTGCAGATACAACCCAGTTGGCAAAAATGGTGCAATATTTTCAGTCTGTTGGGAAAGTTAGAAGCGCTCCTAAGCACTTTTCCCCAAGTGATTTTTTTCTCACACCCAGAAAAAAATAGGAAATAATGACATTATCAGATCTCTGTACTCGAGATCTGGCTCTGAGTTCTCATTTTGATATCTCCATGAAGAATCATGGGTGTTTCAGTTTGTTTCTTGATTTTAAAGACTGATCAGAAAACATTGGCTGACGAGCACATGCGTAGATGCTTAAATATGGATTGGGAATCCTGGCTGGGGACCCACAGCTGCAAATGCTCATTGGTGTCTGTGTAACATTGCATATCTTCCCACCTATAGCTATTTCTGGTACCATTTAATCAAGTAAAGGGAGTAGGAAAAACATAAGAAAGATGATTTGATAGAAAGTCTTTGAAACAAGAAATACCTGGCATGGGTTTTTAGCAACGCAAACTTTAAATCTGTGTACGTTCGAGTATTTAATAATTTCTATTAGGAATATTACATTTGGTCTATTTTTTTTTGTGATTATTATCATCTCAGTTTGCTGGAGAGCCACCTGCTGAAACTGAAGGGTGTAGTTCAGTTCAATTACTGAGAACTGCTTATAGTGTCATTGGAATCTTCCTTCTTACAGAAAAATAGTAATAGTTTATGATGAAAATAAATCACAGTAACTTGAGGAAAATCTAGTTTTAGAAATCTGTAAAATAATTGATTACGATACCAAAGGGTTTTTTAAATCTCATTTTGTTCATAATAATACGGTTTTACAAACGTAAATAGTTCTAAAACTTATAAACTGTGCCTTTTCTAAGCAAAACAATGATTCTTGTTTGCATTAAATATGTGATGTGAAATTTACTGTGCTGGAATCCGAAGGAAACAGAGACACCCACAGAGAGAAATCACCTTTGTTATGGTAAATAGTAGAAATAATTTCTCAGTGTTTTCTTTTGAATTACCATGACTCTACATGCAGAAGTAATTGTGTTCTGTAATGGCTTAGTCTTGCTGATGGGAGGAAAGGGCAAGGGTGACTGGAAGGGAAGAAACCTTCTTAAAGTCAGCTGCACAAAGTAGCTATCTGAGATTTTGCGGCCAAGGGCAGCGCTGGTAGGATGTAGCAAATCTGTGAATGTGATGTGCAGCTGGAAGTGGCTTGGCAAGGCAGCTATATGCAGCCTCTCAGAAACAATGTGATCTTTTTTTGACCATCGAAGATGGACTGGGAGGACAGCAGGGACAAACTCGCCATAGGTGTGGTAGCAGAGGCTGAGGGTGATGCTTTCCACCAAGCTGCCTATTGAGTGTCCCTCAGGGCCGTACACTGCTCACTTACACACAACCACCCACCCACCCATATAGGGCCTGAGCTGTACACAGTTGCTTCTTCACTGCTAGGAAAGCAACAGAAATGTCCTGGGCTTTCATGTCTCTTTTGGTTGTGGTGTTTTTTTTTTTCTTCCCTCTCTTTCTCTCTTTCTCTTTTTCTTTCTTCCCCAACCACATTATCTTACAACATACATCTCACTTTGCAGGCAAAACTTAATAACATTTCACATTTTTTATGATTTTTTCAAATACAATTTTCTCAAAAAAGAAAGAAAGTTACAATATAAAATCACAGCAAAAAAAAAAAAGTGTAAATACGATGTTTCTGTTGGAAAAGGCAGTGCCTGAGGAAGGGCTGGGAAGTGGTTCTTTTTTACTTTTTTTTTTTTTTTTTCCCCACACAGGTATAAACTTAAAGCCATTCACCATATTTACTCTTTTTCTCAGCTCTGTTAAACCACATTAGGTTATTGCACCACAGCAAAGCAGAGAAAAAAGGGAGATTACACTAAGCTAGTTTTCTGAGGGCACAGTTTGTTTAGATGTATGTACACAGCATCCTACTTTCATGCCTTCCTTTCATGTACAATAAAATTATTGAAACATTTGGTTCTAAACAAATTGAAGATGATTTGTGCAAAAACAATCCAAAAAATAACCCCCCAAATCCCCTTCATGAACGGGAAATGCTGTTTGCCCCTGCCTTTTGACTATGCCCTCTGATACACCATATCTTAATATTACTTATACCACTGTACTGTTTAATATACAACATCAACATGTTCTGTTATAGTACAAATAAAGAAACTCCGTACGCAGGAAAGAAACCCACTGTGATTGACAGTGCATCATTATGTGATAGGAACCATTTTAGATATATATACACATATATATGTATATAAAATTCATGATACACAAAAGTATGAATAGAGAGTGTGCCTGTTGAGAAGAAAAGTAGCATAGAAATTCATACACACACATGTGTACACAGAAATGTTGCAAAGGCAGTGAGCTTGGTCAGAAATCATATTTAATAAAGCTAAGTCCAATGAAGTTTTGAATTCAGCTGGAAAGCTGGAACTGTGCTTGCTTATATGGTTAATGAACATTGCTTTATTTGTATTGGATCTTAGTAAAATAGAAAAAAGAAAAAAAGAAAAAAAAGAAAAAAGAAACCACCTGAGTAAGCTTTTGTCACCTCCTCTTTTAGAGCTTGGGGTGCCTTAAAATGAAGAGTTAAGAAAATGATGACATGGGGTGTATAATGGCCAAAAATAGCGTAAGAGTCATAGCTCTACACAAATGACATAAAAAAGCTAAGAAATTACTTTGTCCCTTCTTAGTCTGGATCAGTTGAAGGTTGAAAGGAGCAAGAGTGGGTGAATAGATATGCCAAACAACTACAGAAAAAATGAGCCCTCTTGAACTTTATTGAAATCCCAATTACAACAAAAACAAATGAAACCATCATCAATGTAAGCTTCTCCCTTGAAGGTCTTCTTCAGGTCATCCCTACACAAAGTACATAAGTGATGGTACCTTTTACCTTTTTGCCACATGTAGGTTTTCTTGAAACTGAACGTGTAACAGATGTGCTGACAAAACCCACACTTGTGGCCTGAAATTGGCCCATGATCTTTTAGTGCCTGCAGCCAGCTTGGGCTGTAAGATGTCAAGCAGCCAGGTCTCATGACTAAGCTAAAATAGGGTGCTGGGAGTGCTCAGCTTTGCACCTGTACATTACGTTACTAATGTTTGGGAGGGGGATGCTGGACATTCTGTACGTGCTTTTACTACCTGAAATGTACTATATGTTTTGTTTTCACTTTTGTAGGTGTGTGCATCAGCATATGGACATCTCTACACAGCATTCACTTCTGGTAATACAGCTACTCATCATGAATACTTACATGGACACACAGTGTAAAAATACTACTGTGCATGTGTCCGACCATGGGTGTGCAGACCCAGCATATGAAGAGTGTAAAAGAATGTATTTGTAATTCATTATTTCATCAGTGTTTTTCCTCTAACTTCTGTGGTATTGCTCCTGACTTACACCTGCAAAAGTGAAAGCAGAAGGAGGAACTGGGTGTCCATGATAGAACTGTGTATTAAATATAACTATGCATACCAGGCCAAATTGCCCTAGGTACAAGTGTTCATGGTTCCATCAAATCTCTTTTATAATGCACATATGTGCTTGCATGCACTTGTGAGAGAACGTGCAACTGTATAACAAGACAGCTAGACTTGTTAGCTACATTATTTTTTTTTTTTTAAGTGGAGAATATACATTTATTATAAGGAATGAAAGTATTTAAACATTCAGTTAATTGGGTAGGTTGTTTTTATGAATGATGCCTAGAAAATATTGCAGCACCAATTAGAGTTTTTTGTGCAGCTGTAAAATTTTCATTTCAGATCAATTTCATATTACGAGGGTGTTTATGGAGAGGAATGAACTATTTGGAAAAGGAACTTCAGTTTTTTAAAGTACTTTTTCATATCAGCTGTGATTGGGGTTACAAAGGTTTCTTGGAGGAGTTTTTATTGTAACTGAAGTTACAATATCTGCAGGAGAATCCACCATGGAGAAAGCTGTGGTGAATTTCCTGGACTTTGCAAAGTACTGCATTCTCTGCTCTCTTTTCAGCAAAACACCAGGTTTTCTTTAACCCTAACATTAGCTCCAAGTGCGTTCTGAATGCCTTGCTGATCAAGAAGCCAAGGTACTTAGCACCTTTGCAAAGAGGCTAACACTGAGGGATTGGTCCCTCCTTAAATAGCACATACCAGGAAAGAGGAAGTAGGCTACAAATGTTGACTAGCTGGTTTAATTCAGCTCGGTGTTTTACAAATAATTAAGTACAACACAAATAGAGCCACAAAATCTGCAAGACGTCATCTGTGGAAGCAAAATGGGAATTTTTCAAAGGTAAAATATAGGGATATTTGGGTATTTTCCAGACAGTATAAAAAAAATGAGAAATGTGCATAAGGAGAATTTTCCCCACATGTATTTCTAGCTAGTGCTTTTCTCGACTGTACATTATACTTTTCTAAATAACTAAAACTCAAAAAAGAAAAATTAAATACATTGTAACTTGTTTCTGCAGAGAGAGGAGGAGTTTCTTAACAGTAAGTGGGGTTCTATTGAATAGGGAGAGAAAACACTTGTTGAAGGAAGAGCCATCAATATTCTTTTCTATACATTAAATGCAATTTATACTTCACAGAGTATATTACAAGGGTGTTTCTTATATCTTCACATACCTGCTCGCATGCCTAGTGACACAAACAAGGCATGCCACGATGTCAATTCCAACAGCACCCTTGCAGGTGGAAATGTTCTACTTTTTACTGCCAAAGTAACCCTGGACCCTCTGGTTGGGTTCCAGTCCCAACCCAGCTGTCTACAAAGTCAACTGGGATGGCTGGGCCCCTCAATCTTTAGTTGAGTTTAATCTTTCCGTATGAGTCAAATAAAACCAGGAAGTTAAAAAAACGCATCTGGTGTATGAACCCTGTGCTCAGGGTGTTAAGAGAGAAAGCTAGGCCATTCCTGTCTCATGTTCACATCCATGTTGTGCATTCGGTGCATGGGTAGCGGTTTTGGCAAGGGAGGGTTGCAAGAAGCATCAGTTAAGGAAAGGACTTTCAGCTATCTGACTACAAAAGCTCCTACATACATTACTAAAGGTTTTCGTGATCAAATGCTTTCAGTAAAAACTTTAATATTCACTTTAGAAAACTGAGTTGCAACACATGCTACCAAAAGAAAAATCTTTCCTTGTGGGAGAATATATCTGAATTTTTGATTTTCTTGTACTTTTACTGTCCACTAGTCTTGTGCTTTGTTGCTGTTGTTGCTTGTGTAGCTGCAGTAATGTAGTTGTTGAGACTGGACCCGTGCCCGAGGAGTTTTAACTCATGTGGAAACGGTGCTCTCCTCGAGTTATGTGGGAAGAAAATTCATACCTGTCCTGGCTGTGGTAGCCGCACATGTTGCATTCAAAAGGGTCGCGGAACCCATGGCAGCCCATATGGATTGTATACATCACATGATCCAAGAAAAGGACTCGACAGTGTTCGCACTTGTAAACTCTCACTTGCTCCCCATTGCTGCTGATCACTTTGAAAGCATCCTGGGAATTCTCAGTACCTGCCCTTAAGACATCATACTGCCTGCTTTCTTCTTTTATAGATATGCCGTTTCTTGCATGGGGACCTATGTGGTTTGTTAAGTAAATTAAACCACTGCGTTCCTCGTTATTGCTCTCCGTATCTGTTGAGTCTTGGCAGCTGTTGCTGGGAGAGGCATCCCGTTCAGAGGAGACTGATTTAGCTTTGGAGAGCAGCAACAAGTTTTCTACTGCGCTGTCCTGAGCCGTATGGTTGGAGCGAGTCTGATTGTCCCCAAGAGGTTTGTGGAGCTGATACATGGGGCTGATGACGGGCACCACTTCAGAACCAACCGGTGGAGTCTGGACAAGGGGACGCAATGACTCTGCCCCCAGGTAACTGATGGCATTGTTAATGGCCTGGTCTATGACATGGGTCTGCATTATCTCGTTCTCCTTCTCATAGTTGGTGGTGGCATCATATGGAAGATCGGATAGACACTTCTCACCTGCAGTGAAAAACAGTCAGGAGTTAGACAACTGATTTCTATGCAATTAAGGAAATGAATGCCATGTTTAAAAAAACAAAACAAAACAACATGAAATACAAGAGTTGATCGAATCCACCCTTGAAATTCACCTATGGTACTCATAGTTTTTAATACAGCTGGTCAGAAAACTGGTTCGTTTTTTAACCTGCAAAAATAATCTGAGGTTTCTGGAAAAACAAGTAGAAGAAGACAGATGCACGGGGATTTGTGGGAGCTGTAGATTGAGTGTTTCATCCTCTCCTTTCTAATTGGACTCCCTCATCTGACTCCACCAGTCGACTGCGGCATGCCTTTGTGGCTAAGTGTACCAGCACAGTTACAGGGAGCCTGGACTTTATGTTTCACAGCATGAAGGACATTATCTTTTTTTTTTTTTCCAAAATGTTAAGATTTTAGAGTAGAAAATGTGTGTTTTAAATATTTAGTTTCTTACAAACAACCCATATCACTAATGTTGTCATATGTAATTTCCAAAAGAAACAAATAAAAAATTAATTTTCAGTATTGCAACCTTCCCCCCACACCTGTTTTTTTAAACAAGCCATACATCAGACACATGTAGACACAGAGAAGCTCCAGATTACCCTAGAAAAAAATTATAATGTACAAGAAGAAAGAACTGTGGAAAATTTGTAAGTGCACTCATAGTTGGAAGACATTTTTCCCATGACGTAGAAAGGCGGGCGAAGAGCATGATTACTTGTTACTCATAACCCTGATTCTGATTTGGGAGGACAAAGCTAAGGGTTACTCTTTTTTTTTTTTTTTTTTCAATCGTATTACACTGATGTATCTCTTTCTGGATAGCCCCACTTAGAATACTGAATACCACAATTTCTCAAAACTCCTGGACAAACAGGACTAAGAAAAGCATAGCATAGAAAGTTAAGAGTGAGAAAAACTATTAAGTCATGGGCACTGATTTTATGAACATGCACAGTCTTCTCAAACACTGAACTATCAGCGTTATCAGGCCCATAATAAATGTGGACAACGACAAAGGGATGAAAAAATCCCATAGATTCCTAGGAACTACCAGTACCACATTAGCTGCAGTCTGGATGTCTTTCCTAGCTCTGTAGGAAGTCTTGGGAAATTCAATGAAAGCCACAAACATCTCTGTGAGACCTGTAGTGCTGTCACCATTTCCTGATCAACACAGCATTTGCTCGTAGACCTTAGATTTTCCCCTCCTTTTCCCTGAAGCTCCCAAAATATAAATGGCATCATAAAACATATCCTAATTTGACTAAAATAAACATTACTAGGAACATGGAAAAATTTCCAGAAGATCCACCAGATTAATTTCTCAGTGATTCCCCACCCAGTTTCTATTCATCTTGAACAGGGAAAGTCAGTGAAGAACAAGAGTACAGCCTAGAAAACTTCTGGCAATATTGGGCCTCAAGTATAGAAAGTCATACTGTCAGCATTTCCCACGATATACAGTTTCATACTGGTTTGTGCATGCTATGTAAGCAGAGAAAGAAACACTCCTGGCATTGCATAAGTTCCTATGAGGGATGTATAGACACTTTCTAATTGTACTGCACAAGCTCCTTCTTCTTTTTGTTTCCTTACCCTATCATTCTGCCAACTTGAGCACCCCACTAATGTGGTGCATATATATATATGTATGTATATCAGATTTACCCATTCTAATGCTACATTCTCAGGCAGTGTTTGACTCTTAAGATTCAGAATAGGAGATGTGAAAGACCCCTCAATGATACACAGAAAAACTCTCCTAATGTGAACATATAACCCTTGATTCATAGGGGAAGAAAGAAAGTCAAAATTGTTTGCATTTCATTTACACTGTATATCACTGAAAAGCTGAACTGGTTTTTATTATACACAAAATGTTGGGGATCTGAAAGGTATAATTTTAATAGCTGTTTCTTGGGTAGTTTTTGCTTTATGTAGCATAACTAGTTGGTAGTTGGACTGACAGGATCAAGTGCTCATAAGAAATATATTTTTTTTCTGATCAGAACTGTCTGAAAATACCCAAACTTGAGACAGGCAGGTATCATTTCTACATCTGGGCAATGCAGATAATACTTGCACTCATTAAAAATAATAACTCATTTCTGTGGTTATTAGAGCATAAGTAAATTAAACTGCCAATGGTTTGATGCACTTCAAGCTTTGCACTTTTCAGGTTTCTGTAGCAAGTATTTAAATAGTAACACATATGCATCCAGTGAATGCAGGCTTTTCACTATTTATTTATTTATTTTCCATTCCTCAGTTTCCTTTGCTGCTTATTGTTACAAACATGATAAACATGTGTACATCTCACCTGTAGTTCTGATTCCCTAGTATGGAAGGCCCAGTTCTGTTTTCAGGTCTGGAGCTATTCCAGTTTAGAAAACACAGAGGGGCTTCATGCAGACTTTTGCTGTCAAAGAATTTTACAGATAACTAGTTTAATGTGGTGAACAATCTCACTTTTGAAAGGTAATGGATTTAGTTTTGAGGACGATGAGTGAAACAGCAGACAATCTTTCTCTTAGGCAAAGGATTCCATTTGCTCCTTCTCCCTGAGATTCAGCATGGGGATTGGGATGACATGGTAATAATGTACAGGAGCAATAAACATGTTTTATTACCCTAACCAGATGGCCCAACCTTGTGTTAATCAGGAATTTACCTATTACATGAGGCAGTAGGTGAGGATTGGAAAGGAAAGGATTCGGGGGCATTTTCTTGCAAAAAAACTTCATCCTTGTCAAGATTAGCAATTTTCCATAAGTATCTTCTGTCAGCATGTTGTCTTCCTGCATTGCGCCCTGAATAACTAACTGACAGGAAACTCTGCTCTCTTAAGACTCATAGTTAAACTGGCTGTTTCTCAGGGTGAAGAGGGAAAAAGAGAATGAAAGAAACAGTCCACACCCACAGATATATTGCACATAGGATTCTTGCTAATACCTTTGAAATTTTAACACTTCTGGTCTTCCTGGAGCTTTCACAGAATTAGTATTTTTGCCTAATACAATCAGCAACTAGGGTGTCTGAACGAATCTCGTTTGCCTCACACAGTGGATATATTTTTGGTAACTACCTCTGCTACAACATTTGTCCTTCACTTTGTAAGCATAATCATTTCTTATCCTTGACCACCTCCTAGAAAGTTGACTTTGGATGTGCTGGCCTTCCACTGCCATTTTTTGTTCCAGCCATAGCTGAAATTCTCCTTCTCTTGTCTCAGAAAAACTTAAGTTTCCATTTATCTTTGTGTCCTCTTTGAAGGATGTAGATTTTGAATTTCTGTCCCATAAGCTGGTCTAGCTTTGCCTTGACTTTGACCGAAGACCTTCTTAACGTATTCTTTTTCAAAGACTTCAGTTTTCTCTGTCTACTACAGAATAATATAATATATAAATAATAAATATATAAAAAGTAGATCTGCAAGTAAATCGAAAGAGTATATGCTGTTGTCTGATCCCCCATCTTGTTATTCATTTAATACTAACCCAGCATACCTGATATTGTCTGTGGGTTTGACTGTTAAAGACCTGATCTAACCATTAATTGCTACAAGGCTTATAAGAACAAAACAGGTGTAGCCTCCACGTTTTCATTGTTAACACAACTACTAGGTGCAAATGGCCATGACATTTTTGCACTATTCTTAGAATGTACACAAACATCTTTTCATTTAGGTATTCTCAGAACTATATACATTTATTTTCATTATCATTATTTTGGGCCACAAAAGTATACAGACTTTTTAAAGGTTGAACAATTCACAAATTAATCCACATATACTGATATGCCCTGATCTGGATATCATTTAAGAAGTTAATAAAATAATCGTGAAAGTATGGTCAAATACTTTCCCAGTAGGAAAGTCTATTTCTTAGACCATTTTCAGGTTCTCAAGGTAGCTTCAGGAATCTGTGTTGATCTTGGGAAGATCTGGTTCATAAGCATTAAGAAACAGATCAGGAGACTTAAAATAGATCTCCAGATGTGGAAAATCAAACATGTAGGAATGTATAATTGAGAAGTTTGGTAGCGTTTTGTTTCTTTTTTTTTCCCCCAACATTTTGCCATATCTGCTGATATACAGATAAATATTGCTAATTTAGTAAAACAAGTAAAATCATGAAGCAAAAGTGAAAATCTTGTGAGGGTTTTGTTGTTGTTGTTGTTTAATTTTGTTTTGTTTTATTTTTTAGGAGACAGCAAACTTTTAACTCTTACCAACAAATTTCTGAGGCATAGAGCTCTTACGTTTGGCGACGTTACTTGCTAGTCTATCCAGCACGAGGGATCTTTCTGACCCTATCTTGCACAGGTCTTCAGCCATTTCACTCTGGTTAGTTTCCTCTTTTATGACTGAAATCAAATGACATCAGAAGGATTAGGCACACTTGTTCCATTTTAATGGAACCACTGTCTTCAGGTTATGTTTCTTAGCTAATGTCTTTTAGCTCCCAACCAGCTGGAACAAGGAGCTCACCACTGCAAACAGAGGTCGATTCTCACTCTTCGTAACAAAGTCCCTTACACTGATTAATCTATATGCTTGTTCATATTTCCTTCAACCTCATTTAGGATACAGAAAAGGGACTGTAATTGCAAGGCATCTGCTTGTATGTAGCATAATCATTCCACCCTTGTTCTATAGCCAGTCTCCACTGGCATGGTAAATGAGGTCCTAATATTATCATAGAATCGTAGAATTGCTCAGGTTGGAAAAGACCTTAAAGATCATCAAGTCCAATCGCAACCTAACTATACTACCTTAACAGCCCTCTGCATAGAATCATAGAATTCAATAGTAACAATAGAATTATAATGGATATGAAGCAGTTCATCTTTTCATCCTTTTGCTGTCACCCCACCTGTCACAGCCTATGTTATTATTGCTTCTTTAGCAGGAAAAATGGACAAATTTCTTAATTCCAGTAGTGGAAAACGCAGTTGCAAGCTACACCAACATCCCCCAAACATACACCTTTCTTTCTCCCTATATCTATCGTTATACTTCTCTGATGCAATTTTTGAATGCTAAATCAGTAAGGCTACATCTATAGTGGAGTATTGGTATCTGATACTCAGGCCTGTTTTCCAGCCTTGTGCAGTGGCTAAAGGCACTGCAGGATTAGGAAGGAGCTTAGCTGTTCTAGAACAGGGAGACTATTTAACTACCTTTCACTTCAGTGTTTTTATGAGTAAACTTTCAAAATAAAGGCTATAAAAAATACATACAAAGGTATTGTTTCTGACTTCCAGCATCTAAGGAAAAGATAATACAGAATGAGATCTCAGCTTTTTTTTTTTTTTCTTCAGAAAAGTAGAAAAAGGGTTAATTTTATTTTTATCTGCTACTGGGATATTTATTTTTTTCCTGAACTTGTGAGTCAGAATTAAAGGGAAAAGCAAAATATTTTAGACTTTGATTCTGCATGCTTTTTCAAATAGATGCAGCACTCTGCTACATTTCACTTTCTCTGCTTGCTGAGATTTCATCACTGGGATTTACTCTACTTAGCTCTGAGAAAGGTTCACAGGACCCATTACTATGGTACCTGGGTGCTTTTTAATACCCAGGAAAAGGCAGTGTTATTTTGGCAACACAGCACTGCCATAAAAGCAAGAGTGTGGAATTTTCATTCCCTCTGAAATATGTAATGTCAGGCTCTACTGAATAATTGGAAGAAGCAACTAAAGTGTCCAAGATGACATGTTACCAAGTAGAAGAGCACGTAAGTGATTCTTGATTTGCTGGTGCAGCAGTACATATTGCAGTGACATAATGATGCCATGAAGATGCAAAAGATTGTGACTGACAGAGAGATCAGAATTTTGTTGTGAGGATGCAGGATACCAGAGGTCATTGATGGTATCTAGTCACCAGCATGTGCTAGCATCTTGGGCTGGCCAATGCTTGTAGGTACAACTCTGAAGGATCTTACAGAGAATGGTTAAAGCAGGCAGTTTAGCAGGGGAAACAAAAAAAAGAAGATCTCAAAGTAATGCCTCCTGTTTTATTACACTGTTCCACAACATCAGAGGCAGATGATGGTGGTATGGCAGTAGAGATTGGACCTTCCCACCAATATTCCAGTCCATTTTGTTTCCACGTGACAGATGGCAGAGAAGGGCAGTCTGACAAATGGTGTCTGACATGGAGGCGCATATGAATTACAAGCAGCGAGTTCCTTGAGGTGGAAAAAATGGCACCCACTGACATTCATCGATGCTTGCTAAATGTTTAGGGAGAACAAACAGTGGGTGTGAGCACAGTGAGGTGGTGGATGGTGCGTTTCAACTGTGGCCATGGCAATAGTGGGTCACCTCTGCTGGTGCACAATTTTATGAGGCAGCATGAAGGCTCTTGTCCATGGCTGGTAAAAATAAATAGCTAATGGTGTTGACTAAATTGATAAGTAGTGTTATGTAGCTGACAATTTGTTCTATCAAATGGTGTTGCACTCTTTGTTGTATTTTCCATGGAAATAAATAAAAGTTATTACTTTAAGAGTGACTTATGTAGTTATAAAGATGAAAGAATTGAGAAATATATGTTTAGGATATCACAAGAGTCCACTTCTGATAGTTTGAGAGTGCGTAAATTATGTCTTCAATTTCACTCAATCTTTCCATATTATAATTTTAAAAACTTAGACATAAAATTAATAATAAATAAATAAATAAATAAATAAATAAATAAATAAATAAATAAATAAAAGTTGAATTAAATACTAATTTCCAGCCTTTGTAACTGAACCCCCAGGAAATTTCTCTCCAATCTGATAAATATTTTGCTATTATTTGCTGCCTGTGAACTTAAAAGCAAAAATTATCTTCCCAAGTGAAAATCCACAAGTGACTGAAGAACTGTAATTGACCTTTTTTAAGCTTCATAAACTATTTATTTCTTCTCTGTTATTTTTTCTCTTTTATATACAGCTTGCCAACTGTACCCTGGGCTGCATCAGAAGAGGAGTGATCAGCAAGGTGAGGATGGTGATTGTGCTCCTCTGCTCTGTCCTCGTGAGGATCCATCTGGAGTACTGTGTCCAGGGCTGGAATCCCCAACACAAGAAACATGAAGATCTGTTGGATTGAGTCCAGAGGAGAAACACAAAGATGATCAGAGGGCTGGTGCACCTCTCCTGTGAAGAGAGGTTGAGGGACTTGCGCTGGTCAAGAGAAGGCCTAAAGGGAGCCCACAATAGAGCTGGAAAGGGACCCTTTATCAGAGAGTGTAGTGATAGGGCAATGGGGAATTGCATTAAACTAAAAGAGGTCAGGTTTAGAATAGATAATAGGTGGAAATTCTTTACTGTGAAAGTGGTGAAGCGCTGGCACCGCTGCCCAGAGGAGCTGTGGTGCCCTATCCCTGGAGGTGCTCAAGGCCAGGTTAGATGTGGCCCTCAGCAGCTGAACTGGTGGGTGACAGCCCTGCCCATGGCACAGGGATTGGAATGTGATGTTTTCTGAAGTGTCTTCCAAACTAAGCCATTCTATGATTCAGTGTTTTTACATAGGCCTGATAAGACTTCAGCATGCTTCCACTCAACTCAACTGCAAAAATCCAGTTAATATCTTGAAGAGAAGAGCTTCACATGACCAGTGAAATTCTAGTCCTCTAAAGAATTTTGCCATTAGATTCAGAATATTCCTAATTTCATGCCGACACTCTTTCTTTTAAAGACAGTAAAAAATCATTAAAATATAAATACAATCTCTTGCCACCCTGCTTACTCCTCTTTGCTGGATATTTCTGTTGCACAAATGATTTGTTGATAACATTTATAAGATTTACAAGTTGATGGAAAGCTTTTATTAGTTTAGATCCTTTCAACTGGCTTATTTTTTCTGCATGAGGTATTTAAAAAATGCTGTTAAAAGTCATCTGCTGTAGCAGAATATCAAATCAGATGCCTTAGAAGATATTTGTAGCAACTTTTTTGAGTATGCAAAAAAGAAAAGGCTTTAGGAGCTCCATATCACGCCCTGGCATACCAGAAGAACGTTGATAATATAACTGCTGCATTTTCTATTTATAAAGAATGTATGAAAAATTCCAGGAGGACACACGCTCATTCTGAACTGTTTCAATACATGTTTTCAACCTTGAGTTTATAAGGGAAATAATGTAAAGACTGCAAAGTATACCCAGGACTACCCTGTTTGCAGTGAGATAAAAGAACTTGTTTATAATGAAAAATACTGGGAAAAGTACTGGAAAGTTTTAATTTTGGAAAAATAAAGAACTGATTTATTATCTGAGTGAGTGCTAATAATTTTCATTTAATTGTTAAGAGTGAAATCTTTGGGAGAACACAATGGCTAAAGCCAGAAGTTAATCCTGTAATTTTCTTCTAAATTGCAAGAGTATTCCTATTATATCTGAGATGGATTTTTGTGATACTTTCAGAATGTGGTAGGAAAGCATCTTTCCAAAGGGTCTATCAGTACCCCAAGTATTCATCCCAATGAGATACTTGATATTCAGTCCTAAATTATTGAAAAATCTTTTCTGTCATGATTTGCTATATAAAAAACATCAACTTATCTCTAAAATGATATTATTTTTCATTATAGTTTCTGATTCCTCACATCAGTTTCATATGTACATTTTTAATTAAGTAAGTATTTAATATTAGTGCAGCTTTTCATTCATGTTGATTTTCCTGTGTTGCGTGCCAGCATTTGAAATCCAATGCCAGATACAAAAAATGTGAATCTTGAGGAAGAAAATTTCCTTCTAAATTCTATCACTTCTTTGTGGGTAAGTATTGCTGCCCACTGTGTATTATTACTTTGAGCTTTTCTATTTATACATTCTCCAGCCCCTCAACAAAATTAGAAGGAGCACTGCTCTAATATGCTGTCTCCCAGAAGTATCTCAGCTGCATTTGCTGTTATCATTATGTGCATATACTTTACATTATTTGATAGCATGTAAAAACATATTCAGGTTCTGTCCAGATATAAGGTATTAAATGAGGCATCATTGCAAAGTCAGAGGGAACCTTCCATTTTGTCATTTGACAAACTGAATAATATATACTGATGAGATGAAAAAGGTGTGCAAGAAATGTAACTTATTCGATGAGCTATAACCTGAAGCTCAACCACAGATGCTGGGTTTTATATTCTCTGTTTAAAATTGCATGTGACTTCTTTCTGCCATCAATCTTGTACAGATCTTTAGTATCTTTGTTAAAAAAAATCCAATCCCCAACATCTTTTTATTCTATTTCTGAGTATAGCTTTATACTCTGTGTTTACAAAGAGATGTGCTTCACCTTCACGGTAAGACTGAGAGAGAAGTACAAGAGCTTCTTTTAAAATTGGATGGAAATGCAAAACTTTTAAAGAAGGCTGCTAATAAATTGTTATCCTTTCTGGACTCAGACTGGCTAAGTTAAATCCCTCTGGCTTCCTGCACTCTTGTTTGGAAGAGTCAAATCAAAGACAGATAGCTCATTCTTGATCTATGTTTTGGTGACAGAGGTCAACTAAGCCCATTAAGCTGTACCTGGGAAGGGCAGGAGAGAAGCAATGTGGAAGATTCTGGAGCCGTACCTAAAACACTAATACTAACTCATTAAGAATGCATCCACAAGAGTACTGACAATACAGGACTCCAAGCAAAACCAAGAAGTACTGAAATGATGTTTGGTATTGAGATGGTGAACTGAAATATGGCAAATATTTATTATGTGCCCTGACTTTCACTTTGGCTTTTTATTTGTGCTGAACAAAATGAGAAAAGCCAAGTATTTATCAAATATAGAACAAATCCAGATGCAGTATCACACAGATGGTGATATAGGTGTATATGCATAACACTCTGCCTCTCACAAAAGATGCCACAAATGATACAGCTGTTCCTTCTGAAATCCTTTTTCTGAGTACATGACCGGACAGTGCTAATCCCCAAATGGGTACTTTCATTACCTGAATAAAGGTTGCTTGAGATAGTCATGGTTTGCAGGTAGTTATGACAGCGTTCTTTATGTTCTTCCAAAGAGCTGCGCTGCTTATAGCTGCGACCACAGTATCCACACTTATGGGGTTTGCCAACTGGAGAAAACAAAATGGATTGAAAGATTCACATGAGGGATGCAACACCATATTAATAATGGTAAGAATAACAGGAAAAGGAAAAAAGCACTGCAAAAGAATCTCATTAACTGAAATGAATAATTATTTTTTCTATATTTAAAAATAATAATGGAAAACTAACTGCACATCTTTAAATCAGCAGGCCAATGCTGTGGATGCTGCAAGCTTATTTCAGGTTATTCACATCAGATAAGGACCGTAACACTAAATCTTCACAAATGACATCTACACAAGTTAGAAACTGAGACACTTTCAAAGATCTGAGCAAAGTTACTTTAAAGCCTGGTTCCAACAGGCTGCATGAGGAAGACTTGCAATGAGTACTGTTTTTGTGGGCACGCACCTGCCCATGACTGGATGCCAGTTCTGCTGGAACAAGAATCAACTCTTTTAGAACAATGTTAGATTTCACATGTTTTCTTGCTCTCTGCTCCAGGAAATTCAAGACAAAGGGCATGAAAAAAAATGTTCTGTTTTTCACCCAACCATATTCAAGCAATTCCAGGAATCTCATAGTCATGGCAGGGCTTTGTGGACCTGTATTTTCTGTCTTAGCTTGAAAAATCTGTCACAACTTTAGATGGTTATGCAGCTAAACTTTTGAAATTTGTATACAAATTCTCAGGTGGAAATCAGACTCAGGCATCGAATTTCCTTTTTAATGTATTTGTGTCAATTTGCTAATTATGGGAACCAAACAGTATCTTCATTTTATGCTTTGTCTTTTTGCTGTCGAATCCTAAGCATTTGCTGAAAGTGTTAAGGTGTAGTGTATATATGAAAAAATAGGGTTAAAGTTGCACAATCACTAAAATCAGTAAGGGTGGAGGAGGCAAAATAGAAAATTTAAACATGTACTTTTCCTGACTCAGGATGAGACTGCGCAGAACAAGTAGAAACTATTTTGGATATCTGGAAGCAACCCTTGGGTTCCTATCATTTGACTTGTGCTAGAAGAATTTCCTTAGTTTTGTATAACACAGAAATGCTGCTTTGAGAGCTTCTCTTCCTCAGCTCAAAACTACAGCTCCAAAGCCAACTTTCAGATGTAAATTTGCTAGTGTCAGTTACAGCCATGCATCTTGGATGTCTCCTATCCAATCTGCATTTCCATCCTAGCTTGGGAAACTAGGTGAGACTACACTCTTCTTTTTAATGTGCTTTATTGTTGCTAGGTTGGTTTTGCTTCACAGAAGTATGTGACCATGGCTATTGTTAAACACCAAGGTTAATAATATTGGAAAAATGCAACTGTTCAAAGAATATCTATTCAGATCTCTGTGTTACTGTTAAGAGAAAACACTAAAAATTTCTAGCGGAGTCCTGTTTTCTGGAAGATTCTTATCTCCCTCCTTCCTCCCCCTTCTTCTATCGATGTTTTTGTAATAACCAAAGATATATAATATGTATAATAACCAAGTGCAACAAATAACTGCTGCTAAATGTTGTAGGTGTAGTAGGTTGTTCACCCCTTACACCAATAATGACTACCAGACCAAATGTTTTTGAGACTTCATGACTTAAAGCCGACTGTGTTCAGACCCTTTGTTATCTGTGTATGCAGATAAATGTCATCCAAACCGTAAAACTTTCAGCAGCTTTGAATTAGTAGTTCCATGAAATGGATTACTCACATGCAGTGTGTGAGATGAAACCCTAATACAGAAATTTCTAATTGGCCAAGAATTATGGGAAAAAAAAACAGTTCTGGTGAAGGACCATGACCGCAAGCAGAGGTCATTTAGTCATTTCTGTGCAGCTACAGCACTGCGGCCGGCTCACCGCTTGGCTGATGCTGACACGCAACCACTGGCCTTCCCAGGGCGAGAAGACCTCTCACGATTCATCAGGAAAAACTTTTTTACAGAAAGGGTGGCTAAGCACTGGAATAGACTCTCCAGGAAGGTGGTTGAGTCACCATCTCTGGATGTGTTTAAAAATCGTTTGAATGGGTGCTCAGGAACATGATTTAGCAGAGGGTTGTTAGAGTGAGGGTACTATGGTTAGGTAGCGGTTGGACTTGATGATCTTTAAGGTCTTTTCCAACCTGAGTGACTCTATGATTCTATGACCCGGGCCATCAACACCCCCATATACAGTCCGTGGTTCAGAAGCACCCCAAGGCGGGCCCATACCCTCACTTACCCGAGTGAGTCCGCAAGTGGCCTGTGAGAGCATCCCTGCGCCGACAGGCGTAGTTACAGAGGTGGCATTTGAAGGGCTTTTCACCCGAGTGCAACTTGATGTGGCGCAGGAGGTTGCCCTTCTGCGTAAAGGAGGCTCCGCACTGATTGCACTGGAAAGGGCGTTCTCCTAAGGGGAGAAGGAGGAAATGTGTGAGAACAAAAAATCTTGCACAGGAACAAGAGAAAGATTTCAGTGAAAAAAAGTTGTTTTCTCCCTGCAGCTCTGTGACTTCCACCGGCTGCAGGTTTGATATAACATGAGGCTTTCAGACTAAACCTGCCAGTTTCTTAATGCTTCACTGGCTGGGTCAATTTGATCTGAAAATCTAATTTTTTTTTTTTCTAAATCAGAATGGCACATCACAATGCAAATTCAAACTCATTTAAATAAAGTGACTGCAACATTTTGTGTTGAAGAGCCACTCTTCCTGATCAGCAGTTTTGGAATAAACCAATATCCAATTTTGCATGTTGTGGCATTTGGTGGGGTTTTTAATGTGGCTTTTTTCAAAGGGTCTTTAAAATATGCCACTGAAGCAGCAAAATAAAAAGGAAACTCATTAAAAATGCATTTCAGGATCACAAGTTCATTTCAGCGTTACATTCTTATATTTAAATGAAAGGCACTTCATTATAACAGTTATAATAACTTCTTTTCATTTACATTTTCCCTGTATTTTCCCTTTCAATTTCTTCTCCATTACCTGTCTGTCCCTAAGCAGCCAAATCAGGAAAGAGACAGAGAGAGAGAAAGAGAGAGAGTAAAATCACATAAGTTGAAACAGTGCAGAGAAAGCCCTGTACTTCCACATGACACTCCCAGCTCCTCTTTTGGCAGAGAAGTCATAGAAATGGGCTCTCTTGGGCCATGCCTGGGAAAGGCACAGGGAAAAATGCAAAGTAGCAGACTTGATTTGTCTAAATGGGTGCCTGCCATCAAGTAAGCGAAATAGGTCGCCTCTGCAAAAAAATTTACATGGCTGCTGTTTGCTTTTTAACGCTGTTCTAGAGCTGTTTTATTCCCTTGGCTTGTGACATTTGATTTCAGCTAGACAAGGCCTTAAGTCAGCGAGAAATACAGTCTCTCTCTTACAGTAGGACCGGACAGCAATACAGGAAAATTTAAACATGAGAGCACTCCATTATCAAGATCTGCTCCTGCATGCCCACTTCTCTGAAGATGTAGCCTTTGCCTGAGTAAAACCAGGCATTTTAAAAAAAATATAGCAATAATACTGAATATAAAATTTCAGTGCTGAAGTTAAAATACACATAAAATAAATACAAGTTAAACAGTTCCCTCCTTCTGTCTCACTTCTTAATCATCATGTGTTACTCTGGACATCCAGGATCTACCTGTATGTCCATACATGTGCAGCATGATAGCTTTTTACTTTTGGGTAATGGAAAAGAAAAGCTGGAAAGCAATTAGATAGCAGCACAGTCAGCTGCAACTTGTGATTAGGGCTGGCAATTTCAGCAGCAGCCAACAGAGAGATGAGCCTTTTTTATGGCAAAATACTTTCACTGGTCAAACAGCCCCAAACGGGCCGGCCCATTCCTTGTCCAGGCCAATGAGCTCACTGGCTTTGTCCAGCAGGTAAGTGGATTAATCTAAATGACATCCACGGTTGGTTCATCTGGAGTGGCCTGCAGGTGTGTTCTCTATACTTAATAAGCCATAAACAGAAGTTAGGGAAAAATGAAAATGGGTAAGAGTGTGCTCCACCTCTCAGCAGATGTTGTGGCAGGTATTTTTCAGAACATCACCAAACAACAATGAAGAAGTCAGTTTGAAATGAGGGGCTTGTTCAGAAGAAATGGTTAACTCTTACTAGGCAACTTTTTCTATAATTCATTTCTATTATTTTTACTCAGAGAAGTGTTAAGAGGAGAAAACAGGGGGGATAGAAGTACTCCAGGAGATATGCCTGAAGTAAGAATGAAATATATCTCTGGCCTACAGCTCTCTTAATTACAGGATAAATCTCACACTGTGGGTGGAGAAGACAGGCAGATGGAGCATGTTAGGTGAGACTACTGCATACCACGCTTTTCTTTAAAACTTAAAATGGGATGAAATGTAGGGGATCCTAGACTTGTGCTGCTGTACAAGTGAAACAACAAGAGGGAGGGAGAGGATGAAGTTAACAATGCATAATGCATCTCCTGCCAGCTTTATGTGCTAGTTTCTTGCCTGCTGAACAGCACTTTATCTGCATTTGGTGGATTTCACATTTGGACATGCAGCTATGGTGGGAGAGGGGCCCAAATTTTGCCCCTTGATTTGATTTTTGCCCCTTGAGCAAAAATGAAAATGGAGCCCAGAGCTGAATCAACCACCACTGCGTTGGTTGCAAGCTTTGGTGGGACCCTGGACTACTTATTCAGTGAAGAATACTTCTCATCTTGATTGAAATCTTTCTCATTTCTTAAGCATCATAATGACAAAATCGCTCAGAGTTGCATATAGCCCTCCTTCCTCAAATGCTCAGAAATACTGATTCTTCAGGGGGCATTCACTTTCTAAATACATTTGAGACGTTCAGATCCAGCTAACAAGACATAACTGAACTAACTGGTGACTCATGCCACAGGGGTGTGTGTATGAAGAGGGAATATACATACATATGCATACACAAATATGTCCAAGTAGGCACACAAATGACACATATGGTACAGGCTGAGGTGATGGGGGGGAGCGGGGGCTGGAAGGGTCTTCTCTCTCCTCTTCCCTAAACACTGATCACAGAAGCAGCAGCAGGCTGGGGAACATGCACACTGAAGAGCTGGGCCAGATGAGCAATGGAGTTGGACATGCGTGAGCAGGGTGTGCCCCACAGCTGGGAGCAACAGGTCAGGCCTTGGGACGCAGCCAGCACCTTCCAGCTGCTGGCAGGGAGAAGGGGCAGACATATCAGGTGCTGCTCTGCATATCTGCACTTGGCAGGTGTATTCATTAAAAGTAATTATGGCTTTTATCAGGTCAGACAGTCATTTTATTTTGGCACTTCAGTGTGCTAGAGTTCTGTTCACTTATCAAATATTTATTTAAGGAAGCCTCACTGCATATGCAGGTTTTACATGAATTAGCAGCAGAGTAATTCATTTGTGAGGCTTATTCCTTCATCAGGCATGTATTGAAATGGGCTTCAGAGTAGACAGTTAAGTGTCTGTAATAGTGTATCCCATTTCTACATTAATTTTCTCAGCACAACTGAAAGGAAAAGCAGTCACCTCATGATGTCCCTTTAATTTAAACTGCCAGCTCTGAGCCTCCGCTTCCTGCAAAAGCATAGGTTCTCTCAGAGCTGCTTGCAGTAGGGCCTGAGAGCAAGGCGGGAGTGAAGGCAAAGGCTTTATTTCCATGGAAAGATTCAGGGATTCAACTTCATAACCCTTAGCTTAACTGCTGATAAAACAAGGAGGTGCTGTTGAACAAAGAGGTGTTTGCTCTCTAGGTTTCCCTGACTAAGAGGATTCTATTGGCAAGGGATGGGTGCTGCATGGGGTCGAGAAGATCCAATGGTCTCACACTTACAGGCTGACAGGGCACTGTCTGGGCCATATGGCACATGCATGGATTGCTGAGCTGGGCACGGTGCTTTGGAAGCTGGAGTCCCATTTCAGGAGCAAGGACATGGCCTCTGGAGAGGCTGGCAGGGGGAAGGCAACCCAGCTCATCCCTTTGAGACATGGCTGCCATAATGTGTGGCCATAGACCAGCAAAAAATAGGCCGAGGCTGCTCAGCTTTGGTGTAACACCATGTCTGGTTGAGGCTGCTCAGCCTTGGTGAAACGTGGTATCTGGTGTTTGGGAGCCCCAGACAGCTGCAGAAGGCAGAGCGCTAGCCATGGCTGTGCTGCTCAGCTACTAGCACTGCACATCACTCAGAGGTACATGCCGTCGCCCAAAGGATAATCTGTTCAGAATGTGTGGACAAACACCTCTTGCTGACCATCACTACAACATGAATTCAGGACACATTCACAGAACATGCTTTCCTCCAGTTTTTCGCTACCGGGACAAGTGCAGTTTGGCCTTTTTGTTCCCATTCCCATTTCCACATATGTACACGTGTCTACACATAAACATATGCATGCTGTTCATCTGTTTGTTTTCTCATTTTGTCATCTTTTTATCAAATTATGAACTGACTTTCTGCTCTAGCTGCACTGAATAGACCTCCTGCTCCTCTATTCCTCCAGAGCTTACTTTGCCTTGAGCAGACACAAAGCCTTCTGCCTCCCAACTGCTTTGCAACATTTTATTTAAACTACTACAAAACTATATCAAAAATAGAGTGGGCCTGTTTGAAAGGCCTCAGGTTCAAGTCATTTTCCATACACATTTTATCAACTTTTAAAGGATCCCACTGAAATTCAATGTGAAGAGAGCATTTTTGTTATATCTAGGATGTATGTTGCAGCCCTGTTCTAGGAACTAGATATGGCTTTCCCAACAGAGATACGTATCTGTTCCTTCCTGCCGAATATTCATACAAAACTGCTGAATATTTGTTTTCAAAGTAACTTTTACAGCACAACAGTACATTCAGCTCTTCTCCTTTAGCTGTAGATGTCCTCAGAATTTAGATCAGAACCAAATTTTTAAATACCTAAACTCAGGTAAGACAAGACTCACCCTAGTCTTCACTTCATTTGTTTGTGATCTTTGAAACTATTTAGAATTGGAAAATTGAGGCAAGATTCACAGTACTTTGACAATGAAAAGCCATCACCACGGAGCACAACCTCTTTAGATGTCTCGTTTAGTGTCCCAGTGGAAACCTTTTAGTCCAAATCTAACCAGTGACAATACTTGCTTTTACTTTATGAAACGCTGGACATCAAACTAACCCCTTATTTCCTACTGCTACAATTCCCTTAAAACTTTAAGTTACTTATTCATTTTGCCAATCACTTTTATAATCACTGGTCCGTAATGAACTTTGTTGCACTGTTGGAAACATTAGAACTGGGTCAATTTCAGAATTGGACACTTTATTTATTTATTTATTTTTCCCAGCAATTCTTACAGTTTTCTTAGCAATTAAACAAGAGTTAGGGTTTTTTGAAACTTGAAATTTTCATGTAGCTTCAGGTCAAATTACACATTCGTTAAGGCATGAATTTTGGTATCAGCATAATGTACAACGTTGACGGGAATAAATGAAATTGTGCCTATTTTCTATTACTCTGGCAAACTGTGGTTTGTTTGTTTGTTTTTTCCAATTTCTAACCCAATAGCTGGAATTTCATCAAGGAGAAATTTTAATTTCTGTGCTGTCCAAAATGCAATAACAAAATAACCAAGTTCCAAATGCCCACTGATGCTGCATTATCTTACAAGAGGGAACATGTGCATGATAATCAGAAAAGAAGGCTTAGTTCCTAATATGCGGCTGACTCTTGTCAACTAAAGGAAAAACTATGCCAGGCCTTACCAGTGTGGCTTCGTTTGTGAACCATGAGCACATTGGGACCGATGCAAATTATCCCACAGATATCACATTTTAGCTTTCCGTTAGGAAGTCGAATGCCTCCAACTCCTGACATAGCCTTGCTGCCTGGGCCATTGTGTGAGCCATTCATTTTGTCTCCAGAGGTATCAAGCATTCGTAAATCCTCCGCACATTCTTCCCCATTCATTTCACAGGCACGCCCATTCTCTTCATCACTCTGAGTCTCTATTTTAATATTACCGGCTGAAAAAAACAATAGAGGATGCCACTCAGTTTCATTGCAGAATAAAAAAAGTGGCCAAGAAACAGTCACATCAAAGGAGTTAACTTCTACATAGAATGTACAATATATCCAAATAACAGAAGCTACAAACATGACTACAGTTTTATGTGCCATGCGATGAGTTTACAACACGTGGAGAAGTGAACAGTTAACATTAGTAAGACAAATACAAGGCATCCAGGGAACTGGGAACCCAAATAACATTACAAGTGTGTTCCTAGGTCTCTTTGAGATTTCTCCATTTGTGATATTGATTTTGACAGTTTAGGCTAATTGAAATTAAATTAATAACTGATCAGCTACTCATGGATTTGTTCCAAAGAACTATGAAAATAAGCAACACATCAAAGACAATTGGAAACACAACATTTTCCACTTGGCAGAATGGTCCTGAGCATCGTACTGAATTCAGATATTTGTTTTGTGGTTTAATAGGATAAGTAAGGACAATGTCCCCATTGATCAAGGAGAACAAACATTGATTAAATTAAAAAAAAAGTGAAGAAAGATGGAAGGAAAAATTCAAGAGCAAGGATGGCATCACAGGAAATCATAAGATAAATAATTGTGTTTTAGGGTCACAAAGCAAGAGGAAAGGATATCTACAACCACAAGCTTCTATTAAGAACAGTGAAATCAACAAAGATGGGTGGGAGAACTGTCCTGAATTTTTTGGGCAACTTCTCTGTATTATAATCCTGTAGGTGACAATTGCTTGTAACTAGAAGAAAAATGCAAGTGTGAATTTGGCATAGTCTGACTACATGTGACAGCTTGTAGGTTGGTAGACTATATCTGCCTCAAACCTAAATGTTACAGAAACAGGCCATGGTTCAGATCAGTTCACAGTAATATTCATTCCTCTTCTCTCTACAGGACTGTGTTATCTTTTTTTTTTTTTTTTTTGTAGAGTAAACTATCTTTACAGTTAATTCCTTGTTTTCTGATCTGATGACTTCAGTGGAAAAACAGTTCTTCATTCGTCTCCAAAAGACCAGATCTTTATTTCCTTTTAGTGAAAAACCCAGTTCTTCTCCGGAACCCAAGAGTAGATTATTTTCTGTAGTGGCTCACTGAGTATGTAAGGGGTCTGCTTCACCCCATAGAGAGCCAGGTCTTTTTTGTGCAACAGTGATTACATGGGAGCTTTATTACTGCATCCTATGTGCTGCAGTAGCAATGACATTATTAAGCTGTGGGCACTAACTACATCATAGGTTGAAAGATTCTAACGTTCACTTGAAAATGAAATGTTTGCTCAACTTTTCCCCGTGACCTGCAACCTCCCAGGTGTTCCAGCTGGACTGCAGGGATGTGCCTGACGACAGGGTCTGAAGGAAAGCCCTGCTGGGAAACATGCTTGGAGTAAAGGTGTTCACCTTTCTTGGCTGAACACTTTTTATAAAGTCTGCCACTGTAGGCAATTGAATGTTTTTTCAATTAAAAAATAATAATAATATAAATCGTAATCAAAATTATATGTAAGATAGATAAAATGCACGTCCAAAACAGCAGGTATCCTTTAACAGTTATGTCCTAAAGAGGAGAATAATTTAGAGGTATGGAGGAAAAAAAACAGAGATAAAACAATGACCGACAAAGATGGTAGAAGTGGCTAATCAGAGGTGTTCTACCGTATTTTACAGAATTAGCAGAATACTGCTCTGTAGTGCTGTTTTCAGTATGGTGAACAGCAGCAATAGAACTATTCACATAGAGTGTATGGCAGATTTTCCATAAATCACACAACAAGTTCTTTCTCTTAATTCTAAGAATGATAATTTGTATGTAAATATGTACATCATAATAATTGGTTATGTAAATAAATTGCAGATGCCTCACCTGCTAGGAGTTTGGAGAAAGTGGTTTTTGAAGTAGGCTTTATGTTAAGTTGAAACAAAACATATATGAACAAAGCAAAAAAAAAAATCACACTATTTAAACCCTTTGGAAGCGTAAGTGGACAAATGAAAATTACTGAGAGGTGAAATGGAACACAAATAAATCACAGAAGTAGGAACTAGATGGAAATGCTCTGAATTCAGTGAGCTGAACTTGCAGTATACTTACGGGAAAAAGATTTGGGAATTATTGCATGAAAGTCCCTAAAGCCTTCTGCCCCATATGCAGCTGCAATAAAGAAGGCAAACAGGATGCTGACTTGTAGTTCTGCTAGCAGTAAATGTAAAAGAAGATGGCATTATTGCTATACAAGAAATGCATAGGAGAAATACAAAACTACTGTTACAGAAACAACACAGGCAGTTCAGGACAAAGCAGTAGGACAGCAAGCAGAAGAATTCAGACCTCCATCTGATGACTCTGATTTGTGAAAATGCCACATTTTCCAAAGCATCCAACAAGTTTTATCATGTTTTCTAAAAGCATAACCTTTCTTGGGCATTCCCCTTGCTTGTAGGTTAACTCCTACTGAAGTCAAGAGGAACTTTGGCTGAAACATCTAGAAAAAGGGCAAACAGGAGCAGATCACCTAGCCCAGCCTTCTCCCAGTCCCAAGGAAACCACAGCCCCTGCAAAGAGACCTTTTGCCATCATTCTCTCTTTGCATGGTAGAGATCTCTTCTTTACCTGTGCTCATTTCTAGTGACTGCAGTTGTATAAGTTAAATTGCATTGTTTTCTTTGCAAGTCTGATGAACTTATATAATGGAAGAACAGAGAGTTGGATTATACATACAGTTGTGTACTGGCACATTTTTTTGCATTTCCGATGCCAGTCTTCAGAACGTATCTACACAAAAGCATCTGCACAAGCACACTATAATGCACACGTTATGAGTTGCCAAGAGCAAATTAACATGGCCTGGAGTACGTTGATAGTGGCAATGATACAGTTCATTACTTTCTGTAAGCAGTGACAGAGATACCGATCTCCACAAACTTCACTAAAGCCCTGCAGCAGTGTGTCTTGGAGTAGCACAGCTCCCCTGAGCAATGCAGCTCTGCATAAAGCAGAGCTGGCACCCAGGATGTCCCTGCAGCACTGCTCACTGAGGGCTTGCTTTGGGTGGGATGCTCACTTCGGGGACAAGAGCCAACACATGGTGAGGCCACATTCCTACTCCTGGCTTCTCACAAAGATTTTATAGGTCTAGTTAGCGAACAAAACCTCTTCATGCTCAGATTTAGCACATTTTTCAGGCCTGTTTTTCAAAAGAAAGTTATTGTAAAAAGCTCCGCTGATGCAGGAGAAGGCACAGGGAAGAGAACCACTCCAGCAGAAATACCCAGGATTTTTGTTGAGTCTGACTGAAAAATAGGGGAAAAAAAAAAAAAGGCTGGAGACTTAGACTAAAAAAAGTAAAACAATAAAATGTTCTATTTCTTTTGCAAGGAATGTTCTGTCCCTCTTTTGCTATAGTGGGCAAAATCACTCCTGGGGCACAACTAGCTGGGAATCAGACTTTTCAGATGCACTGATTAAGAACATTACATTTGCACAGGTTTCTCAAACAGTTACTCAATACAGTCTTTGTAGAAATAGTGTCTGGTAAATTCATGTCCTTATACACATGCATACAGGTCATTAGTTACCTGTACAATAATTAATTCTAACAGTTTTTCATTGGCTCTTCTAACATCATCAAAGCTTTACTTATTAATTGCCTTCAGTTCTGTTGGAGACCACCTTATAAAGCTCTGTGTTTTACTCTGTACCCTCTCTGTACACCAGTACTGTCTTCGTACTGGTGCAATTTGGGGATGTCTAAACCAAGCCCTTTTTTTGTGTGCAAGGAATATAGAGTGTATCAGTGTCACTGTACTGGCAGCTCTGCCCTCACTTCCCTGTTGGCCTACCCATACTGTGGAAAATTCAACCAAAAGCAAGGCACCCTGTGGGTTTCTTGTGCTATCTGATGTCTAATGAGAGCTTCACTCTGGATTTTTGAAATTGATGTCATGAAGAGTGTTTGCCATGACAAAAGGTGGCTTAAGCAAAAGTATTTGGACAAAAAAAGAACTGACATATCAAAGTGAAGAGGGGTGATAGTACGATTTTTTCTGTTGTTTCAGATCCAAGCACCAGTTTCCTTGGGAAGGGCACTGTAGTTGGCTCAGCAAGGCACTCAGGCTGGGACACCCAGAAAGGCGTGAAGAGGGATGAGGGCCTGAGTCACACTTCCCTGGAAAGAACTGAACAATGCCAAGAGGGAAGGCAGTTGCTTCGCAATGAGTGAAAGAGTTTGTTAGTGGGGAGAAAGGAGATACCAAATGGACTTCCTTGGAAACAGGAAGTTTTGAAGGAACAGCTTTTAAAGGACTCTTTTAAAGAAGAGTAGGCAGGAGGGGAAAAAGCATGTGTAGGATGAGTGATTTGTCTTCAGCTCCACATGGGCTCCCTCCCACATGTAAATGCCTTTCAAAGTTTTGTGAAACTTTGGTACTAGCATAGTTTTGAGTGCCTGGGCTAAAATCTCATTTGAAAGGGAACTTCATACCTCAACTCATAATCTTCTTTGCTGGAAGATATATAATAAGACCTGGCTGTCAAAGTATTTAGGGAGTAAGAGAGAAAAACAGATCATAATGAATCACAGAATCACAGAATGGCCAGGGCTGGAAGGGACCTCAAGGATCATGAATCTCCAACCCCCCTGCCACACGCAGGGCCACCAATCTCCTGATTTAATACTAGACCAGGCTGCCCAGGGCCCCATCCAATCTGACCTTGAACACTTCCAGGGACGGGGCATCCACAACCTCTCTGGGCAGCCTGTTCCAGCACCTCACCACTCTCTCTGTAAAGAATTTCCCCCTGACATCCAACCTAAATCTCCCCTCGCTCAACTTAAAACCATCTTCCCTCGTCCTGCTGTTATCTACCCTTTCAAAGAGTTGATTCCCCTCCCCTCTGAAGGCTCCCTTTAGGTATTGAAATGCTGCAATGAGGTCACCCCGCAGCCTTCTTTTCTCCAAGCTGAACAAGCCCAGCTCCCTCA